CCCGACTATCTTCCGGCAATAAAGCCGCATCGAAGTCATCCTCCTCTGAAACATCAACCGTTAAGACGGCCGTTTCGGAAACAAGGCACGTGGTTTCAGACGGCTAATGTGGACCCATGGTTCCACACGATAGCCTGTGACTTGAACCTTCAATTTAACCTTGAAATCGTCCCGAACCTGCTCAATTCTGAATGGTCCGTGCCACAAGTGGGCCAATTTGCGACTCAGACCTGGCAGGACTTTCGGGATATACAACCAGACCGAGTCACCTACTTCGAAACCAGACTTGAGGTGATCTGATAGGACCTTCCACTTCTGCGTCTGAACCGCGGAACGCGTACGCTTGACTCTCTTCTGGAACTCCTTCGCACAGGCGTGGGCATAGCTGTAGTCTCGTTGCAATTTTCGACGCCATTCGTACGTGGTACGTTCTGCGACATCCGTCGGTTTAGGGCCCAGCATAACTGCTATAGTGCTCCGACAATCGAACCCGTGTAGCAGGTAGAACGGCGTATCCAATCTAGTCGCATCAAAGGAGGTATTCATAGCATGCATGAGCTTCTCTGCATGGTCGTCCCAGTCGTTTTGGTTACGCTCTGATACTGTGCATAACTGTCTGACCCAACCGTTCCTGCTGGCCACTGGCCTGAGAGCGATATGCGAGCGTTGCTTTCTGTTGGATACCCATCATCTCACTGAAACGACGGAATACCCGACTCATGAACCGGGGATCTCTGTCATGGCGGATTTCAGAATTAGCGCCATAATTCCTGAACACAATCTCTTCATAGGCTTCCGCACAGTTTTGGGCGGTAGTACTACTCATGGGTTTACACATTACATAGCCTGTGAACATGTCCTGAAATAAGAGTAGAAACGTATTCCCGCGTTCCGACTTCGGTAGTACTGCTCATAGGTTTACACATAACGTAGCCTGTGAACATATCTTGAAACAAAAGCAAGAACATATTCCCACGTTCCGACTTCGGAAGGTGTGTGACAAAATCTATGGACACTACTTCAAATGGACCAGTCGGTTCAATATTCCCGGGAGAGGGTCCTGGATTCACGCCCCTTAGCGGACGCGCAATCCGTGCATTCCTTGACAAACATTTCGACGTCTTGGAACATCCCGATCCAGAAAAACTCTGAACGCAGACGCTCATATGTCCTGGTGATGCCTTGATGGCCACTCTGGAAATCTTCGTGAGCGTGGTGTAGGATGTCTGGTCGCAAGGCTTCTGGTACAACTAGTCGAAGTTCAGAACGCTTGTCTCTAGGACGTTCCGGGGTAGTTACAACCAAACGATAAAGGACGTCTCTTGAGTCTAAAACATACGGGTCTGAACCCTTCGCGATTTTCTTGACTTCCTTTCGCGTATAGTTCAACAGGTCACCTTTCAGATAATCCTTGAGCCTTTTTAGCTCTGGATCCTCATCCTGATGGACTTTAATACGTCTCCAACGTTCGTCTCGATAGTCAAGTGGACGGCTCGGGTCATCCACTTGGGCAACCTGTCTGGAACGACTTCGGGTTGTAACTATCTTCACGGGTGTTACTGTCTCAGACGCGTTTGGGACAGGGTCTGGAACGAGGTCACTTGGACGTTCGCTCTTCAGACTCTGACTTGCGTCGTCCTTTCGTTCCGAGGGTTCCGGAGTCTTCATAATCTTCTCCGGGATCCTGGAGACAAATTTCAGATGCATCAGTTCATCCGCATCTTCCACCACCCACGCTTTCCCGAGTGCCAATGTCTTCGTCGGTAATCTGCTGCCTGGTTATAATTGCGTTTGACGTGGACCAACCGTACGGAGCCGAATTTCACTTTCAAGGCTTCATACTCAGCAAGTCGACGTTGCAGATTAGGCTGGTGGCAACCTATCAACCCTTGCGCTTGTTGGATTACGATTCTGGAATCGCCGACTACAACCAGATATCTGAAACCGCGGTCGACGGCCAGCTCCAAACATTTGATCAACCCATGATACTCTCCATGGTTCACAGTCACATCATCCAAAGGGAAACCTTGGGCGCTCAGGACATGCCAGCCGGGTAAACACCACAAAATACATCCACTACTTCCCTGTCTAGTGGAGACCTTGGATTCACCATCGAAGCTCAGAACATATCTGAATCCAGCATCTCTACACTAGAGGTGCCTTGATTCGCCCCTTAGCCGGGATCAGGTTTTCAGCGACTTCGTCTAAATGATCCCTGGGGGTAATACCTGCACCGAGGATGGCAGCTAATCCATCTTCATCGCGCTGCACACGGCGTAGTTCCAGAGTCCACTTCGACAATTCTAGACCCCACTTAAGGTGACGGCCATCGGCAGAATTTGACTTCAATAACCACTTCAGAACCGAGTACCGGGTATATATTATGATCGGTGTCTCTGAACCGTAACGGGGGGAATTGCTCTAAGACTCGCAGGATGACCAGCACCTCCTTCTCCACGATGTGGTATCTGAGTTCAGACTCGTTCAGAACTCGCCCTGTAAAGCGCACTGGTTGAATGATCCCCTCATGTTCCTGTCCGAGGACGGCACAAGCCGCCCAGGGGTTTGCATGTGGGATGATAACAAACGGCTTGGTACAATCTGGATGGCGCAGCAGCGGCGTTGATGTAATCTTACGTTTCAGAATCTCGAACGCTTCCTTAGCCTTATCCAAATCTTGTCCGGCACGAATGCGATCCTCATCCAGCTCGTAAAGTACAGCCGCGACAACAGGCAAATCCTCGATAAACTTGTTATAGTAATTCAGGCTTCCCAAGAACGACTGAACGCCCTTCAGAGTCGACGGGAAAGGTAGGTCTTGAACACTCTTGGCAATCTTCGGGGTAGCCCTGATACCTTCGGCACAGACTTCGTGAGACAGGTACGGTATAGCTTGTTGCCGAATTTTCGGAAGGCTGACTGAGATATTCCAGTATCAGAGTCGGAATAGCAGGGCATTCAGGTCTTCACAAAGTTTGTCCCAGGTAGGCGCCCCATGAGCTATGTCGCCTATGTAGGAGCTTCGCCTCAGAACCGGTCCCGTCTGCGTCGGGGTCGGAATGTTTCGCCTGAATGCAGTCGCCTCCTTCATCAATACTGGAAGTCTGAAACCACCTTCGCCTTGAGGATCTTCGATCGTCGATCCTGTGTCTGGGGCAGTCAACTCCAGAAATTCCAGGACATCTCGGTCGACCTTAGCCTCC